GGTATCTACAGTCAACAGGGTATCTACAGTCAACGGGTATCTACAATCAACAGGGTATCTATAGTCAACGGGTATCTACAATCAACAGCTATCTACGTAGAGTCAACAGGGTATCTACAGTCAACAGGGCATTTCCAGTCAACGCAAAGATGTATGTATATACCGTTTTTATCAGTATAAAAACCACGTGACAAATAACTCCATCTTGGAAATCCGTCACCTCGAACCAGCCTATTCTAACCCATCAATACCCATGTAGCACCCTTCAACAAGATGTCCGTTAATAACACCAGAACGCGTCAGATTTTGGAGTGATGGTTTTAGAGTGAAGACTGTTTTAAACAGCTACAAGAAAGCATAACACATAATAAGAAACTCCGACATGTTAATCAAATATAGCCTATAAAGACAAGTTTTGTTTTCAATTTGAATTCTTATTTAGATCAACCAATGTCTTCAAACAGTATTTACAATTAAAGAAGAATGTAACAGTGAGTTTTCATATATATATAAGTCTTTAACTTATACTCCCTGGATTTATAGTACTAATAACTGATATTGATAGAAATTATAATGTTCGTTATTTTTTACAGTAACTACAGACTTATAAGATTCCCGGATTTCTTTTTTTTATCGTTCAAAAGTACGAACTTCTCAATAAAACGAAGCTAATTACATAAATATGACATAGAAAGAATATACTACGTTCACATATGATAAGTGGACAGTTTGAACTTTCAAACATTGATTTTTTTCTGAACTTGATTCAATCGGCAGGATTCCATTTTTATTAACTGTTTATAACATTCCCATATTGTACGTTTCTTTTTCTTCGACAATTACTTTTTATAACACACTTGTTATTATTTTTTTAGATTTTCTTTTAATTGCCAGTGGCGGGTTAAATGTTCATAACGGGGGGGGGGGTAAATAAAAAAAGGCAAGATGAGAGTTCACTTTCATGATGCTAAAAACGCTGGTTAACTTACAGTTCTTCGAGAAACCGGAGGTGCCGAAACGTTGTGGAGTTTATTGACCTGATTTGGTTGTGGCTAAGATCCCTGCAAAAAATATAAAAGAAAATGAGGTCATTTAAATCAATGATTAATTCGAGTCGATGCACAGTTACTGTAAATTCAATCAGTGTTATTTTAAAAACATCGTAGAAAAACGATATGAAATCGAATATCATTAAATTGTTCAATAAATGCAACATTGCCTACAGATTTAAAGACAAACACTGATACAGAGAACTGTCTATATAAATATAATACTGTCTGTTGTCTGTCCATGTAACTACTTCTATATAAGTATAATAT